GCTATTTACGATAGTGACAATTAAATCGGTATCAAGCTGTCAGTTTGTCAATTTTTGAACTTGAAGTAATACTAATAATTGTGCATTGTTGTTCTGTTCATGATTTCTGAAAAAAAAATTGTTGAACAAATTTTATGTACCCCCTTCAAGGAGCTGGGGGATGGGATGCTCCAATGAAGTTTCTTCATATGAAAGATCCTATCTCTTTTTCGATGAGGAATTACCCCCTCAAATGTTTTACACTTATTTATAGTTACACCCTGTATATGGATTCAACTAACGATATATCCAGATGGATTCATCCGAGGGGTGGCTCACTATGGTAATATGGTGTACATCGTGCCAGTAATATATTACCAGTACAGTATTATACTTCTAGTCGACTTCTAGTATTACCGGTATTACTTGTATTATCAAGTAATATTTGGTAATATTTCATATGACAGGTATTATTGGTAATATCAGCTAGTAATATTGGAATATTGGTAATATCTGCTTGTAATATAGTAATATAAGTAATATCTTCCAATAATATGGTAATATTAGTAATATCTGTCAATAATATGGTAATATTGGTATTATTTTATAGTAATATAGTATTATTGGTGATATTCCAAGTAATATTAGTATAACGCATCAAGTAATACATTGGTAGATTTCTAGTAATATTATGAAAATGAGTATTATACGTTCTAATGTTCTATGAGTCAATTATACCAGATGTAGCAATGAAAAATAAGCGTTCGCCACCTAGCGAGATTTTTGAAAGCTGTCTGTCAGGTGCAGCAACATGTTATTTTCCATCGTGAGTATCTATACCTCGATCTATGCCTACCTGATCTCTATGAATAGAATGAGTATCAAAATACCATTTCTTTATTCTAATTTATTGATGGTTCAGTATGTATTTGCATGAACTCAGTGTTTGAAGACTAATGGTTGAGTAATCGGCGACTAGGAACACCCAAACAACCACAAAGGTATTGAGGAATGTCTAACTATATTTCAGCAACTAATTTGCCAAATGAGTAGACCTAAATAGTTATTTGCTTAACATGGGAGAAAATCACAAGATTTGAAGCTACCCAGGCAGTTGAAGTGCACCTTCTATGCCTGTTAAGTGACATTAAAAAGCCATGTTTAATGTCATGTGGAGAAAATAACTATTTATTTTTATGTTGGCAATACCATGCAATACTGAGTATTATTCGAAATATGTCTCTGTCAGCTAAAATGGAATACTTTCTAGATCTATACTAAAGAATAGCAACTCATCTGAACTCACGGGATATTACTATAAACTAGGTAATATCTAATAATACCAATAATACTCGAATACTACCGAGTATTACCGAATATTCCCAAATATCACCAATTATTACCAAATATTACCGAATATTACTGAATACTACCAAATATTACTAAATATTACCAAATATTACCAAATATTACAAAATATTACCAAATATTACAAAATATTACCAAATATTTCCGAATATTACCAAATATTACGAAATATTCGGGAATGTTACAAAATATTACCAATATCACCTTCCAAATAATGTTTAGGAACCTGATAAACCACATTAATTATTACTAGTTCATACAGGTAACCACCCTTATCACTATCATTAATTCAACTATTATCAGTAGGAATATCTATACATATTTCGACAATTAAACTGAGGTCGAATTTTAAATCGATTTACTCATAGATCAAGTTATAAATTTCTATTCGGTTCTTACACTTGGTTAGCCCTCGGGTTAGCCACATCTTTCAGTTACTCTTCAGAGCAATATGACACTATACTCACAAATTTCTGGTGAACAGGATGATAATTGAAGTAGTGTAAAATTGCAGCGGTGTCGTTATGATACCGTTTGAGCAATTTTGTTTTTTTTCGACCTTGTTCTATACGGTTCTATATCGTGATCATTTTTCGAAATTCTTTCTTATACCATGAACCATCATGATCGAAAAAAAAATTATGAAAGTATTTGAAGTTTATTTCGTTTATCAGTTTAGTTGTCGAAATATATAGACATTTCTGCTGATAATAGTTGAATTGATGATAGTGGTGAGTGAGGTTACCTGTATACATTAATAATTAACGAGGTAATTAATGTCATTCATCAGGTAATATCTGGTAATATCTGGTAATATCTGGTAATATTTGGTAATATTGGGTAATATTTGGTAATATTAGGTAATATTCGGTAATATTTGGTAATATTTGGTAATATTTGGTAATATTTGGTAATATTTGGTAATATTTGGTAATATTTGGTAATATTTGGTGATATTTGGTGATATTTGGTAATATTTCACATAATCAGTAATATTTAGTAATATCTTGAGTATTATTGGTATTATGGTAATATCCCCTGAATATTACTGATATTACCTGGTTTGGTAATATGGTGTACAAAATTTAGGCAAGTGAGCCACCCCTCGGATTCATCTAACGATATATCCATCAGGGTGATACAGAATCACCGTAAGGCGTCAAGTGTGTTTTTTCTACCAAGGTAGTTTTCGTCATTTCATAACCTATGTCAGTTAATACATAGCCACCTCTGTTATAATGAACCTGAATTCAATGTTTTCAGTTCTGATGCAAGATTCGCAGAAATGGCACTAGTTGGTATTTATCGATAACGACTTGTCATATGCTGTCTTGGTCATGACAACTATATTTCAAATAGAATTGAAAAGGAGTGCTTTCATACTGAAAATAGGTCCATATTTCAGTTTAACAAATATTATATATCACTAGTGCCACTAGTGGTAAAATAAATTTGATAGACGCCTTGGTACTGAACTACTGAATAATGAAGAATATCATTACAACGGGACCTCTTATACTCCTCGTCTTAGGCCTCTGGATATAATGATGGTCCCTGATGGGTAATATTACAAACAGAAAGCTTGATTTACTGCTCAACACAAACGAACACAAACCAGTGACACATATTATTTCTGAACAAAGCCTAATTTCAGTAATTTCCTAATTTGATTTCGATTTGTTTCTGGTTAGAGGTTTTGATCGTTGATATATGGATCGAATGCATGAATGATAAACCGTTGGCATTTTCGAGGATGATGTCCGAATTCCCGACTATTACCTAGGCTAGGCAGTGTATAGAATACTACTCTTTTTTGCCATATTCATACACTGTCGTTGCATTTTTCATCAATTCCTTTAATTTAATTTAATTTAATTTAATTTGTCATCCAACTTGATCAATCTGATTTGATTTGAATAAATCCTGCTTCAAGTGATCTATGGCAATTTGTTCCAGTCGAACGAACATCACTTTTTAGCAGGGTGATAATGACGAACGAACAGGCCTAAGACATCATCCATCACAAGAGCACAGATCGGTCCTTCTCATATCCAACACGGTTTGGTTTCGGTTCAACCATTGTCGTTCTAGATGACAACCTAGTTAGGTAGTTAGTAGGCAGCTATTATACCTCCTTGCACTAGGTCGCCTACTAGGTTTTTATTTAGATCGACAATGGTTCAACATAGGTTCAACCATCTCGGTCATTCGCCTACAGGGTATCCGAAAACTCAACGTCATTCTTTGGAGGGTTGATAGTCCAGCGCATGACTAAACAGAACATCACAATATGATCTGATTTTGTGAGAATCGGAACCTTTGATTAATGTTGCGAGTGCCGCAGGTACAAAAGTTCATAGTTAATGACTATAAGTTTTGTTATCCTGAACTTATGATAACCCTTCTATCTATTGATTACAATCGAAGATGAAATGAATGAAAATTGATTGCAATTTATATACCAGGAGCAAAGGTATCCATTTCCTCCCGCGTGTAAAGTTTGATGCCGGAATCTTTTCTCCCAAGATATATATTGGATTTTATGAACAAACGCATATATTTGAAAACATCATTCTTTATATTCTTGTGCTTCAAATGATCTCAATCCGAATCAGTGTGTTACACATGATCTAAGGTAAGTATATCTGAACGAAAATCAAATTGACATTTCTTTCACATTGAATATGTTCATTGTGTTATCGCATTTGTGTTATCGGAAAACACATTGTGTTGTCTGACATGCTGACAAAAGCCTGTGTAGACATTTACATTCTATTAGCAGTATCAGCTTCTACTGTAGAAGTGGCAGAAATAATTCTATTGAAAATTTAGAGAATTTTATAATGAAAACTATGTGAGATCACTATTTACCTGAGAAATCATATTACTTCGTCTCTCGCTGCATTTTTTGTGCATTTGTAAAAATGCACAATGTGATGGCATGCTTCAATTAATAATGAGTAATGAATAGCCCAAAAAACACGATTCGTATGCAAAAATTATGTGAGAAACTATTTGAATTATTCGATTCCTCTGTGAACAAATAATAAAAGTGAGGTGGTGTTCCAATGTATTACCTCCAGGGTCGGTCATCGTGCACGCGACCTATTGATCATTTCTAGAACACGTGATTTTGACATGGTTTCTTGAGGGGAACACAAACTATTTGTTAGGTTACCGTTGATTAGCATAGCCGTGGCCATCCCTGCCACATCCACAATATAATAACTGTTTCACCAAACAAAGTTATGAAATTCTTTCTGGTTCCAACTCGGATTCCAAGGAGAACGATCTCACTAATTCTGGTTTTATATGACAAATCTTGACAAAATACAATGTTTGCCCCTCAGCAATCTGTCAAATGACGTAATTCTGGAATGATTAATAAGATGAGGAACATAACCTCTTGCTCATATGGAAATTATTACACAATATAACTTCTGCCATTATGAGGCTCTCGCTTAATGTCTCATTCCACACTTTTTCCTGTATATTCTTAGTACGTTAAATAGGCACCTTTATCTATACGTTCTCATGCTAGTGAGTTAAGGTGAACTCCTCACACAGAAATGGGTATGATAATGAAGCATAACCAATCAGTGAGGTAATGTTGATGAATTCGTTCAAATACAAATGTTAAATTAAGTACTCACCGAGAATGGAAAATACGACAATCAGGAAGAATGTTAGCGAAACGTTTGTTTCCATTTTGCTGGTGCAGTCGATCATAAAAATTTAGTGGACCTGCTGCATTTTATAGTCAATGTCTGGTTCCATTGTTTCCTAGAATCAGAAAAGTCATTCAGTGAAATATGATAGTCATTCGAAAATGGCTAGACATTTTAGATTATTTCATTCACACTTGGCTGGACCTATGAATTTTTTATCACATGATAAGCGATATCAGCGGATATTTTGGTAAACAAACAATATGAGCGGGTATTCTGTTCGCCAGCATAAGATGGCTACGATTAGGAATTATAAACATCTCAGCTACGATTGTCAAACTTTGACATACCTATCATGCAGTTACTCAAAAATTGAAATGTCTCGTTTTGGGTCAACTTCCACTACGGAAATCCGTTATTATGTTAGCGAATCATTATCAGAAAATACCAAGAAGAGTAAAGAGTCTGTCTGAAACAATTCATGTTTTTTTGCCAGCAGAAAAACTATGAATTTTGTGCGACTACCCCAACTCTCGTGATTGCCAAATCCTGAAAGATTGGGCGAGGAGAATGGTGATGAATATTAGGAATACATAGTTAGAATTGATATGGAAAACTATACAGGACTCAAAGGTGCTAGGGATGCGCATATAGGTAATGCGAAAAAGCAAAGCCTGCAATATTTTCCTCAAACATGAAAGTAAAGTTCAGAAGCACTAACTCTAGATGAATTATATTTTTATACTGTTCATGAAATACTTAATCTTCCTGAATATCACTCGACCATGACAAATAAAGACTATTATTTTCTTCAGTTCGTCCCGAGTACCTTCTATTTGAGACAACTCAATTGTAATAACATTAATAATCATAGAAGACCTCCATTCAGATTATTAATATTTATCTCGATTTATATGGTCTCATCGAATCGTCAAAATACAAAAGGTTACTCTCGATAGAATTATGAAGAAAATAATAGTCGGCTATTTGTCATGGTGTCGAGATATTACCTACGATTATTTCATTCACACCCAGTTGGACCTATGAAATGTCATGATTGAAGTCACATGATATGCGATATCAGCGACTATTTAGCTAAACAAACAATATAAGCGGCTATTCTGTTTGCCAGTATAAGAGTGCTATGGTTGTCAAACTTTGACATACCTGTCAGTCACTCAAAAATTTAAATGTCTCGTTTTGGGTCAACTTCCACTACGGGCTAAAGCTCTCGGGAGTTATTCAGATTATTAATGCTCATATTGTCTCATCAAATTGTCAAAATACAAGGTACTCTCGATAGAATTATGAAAAAAATAATAGTCGGCTATTTGTCATGGTCTCGGGATTCTATCCACGACTATTTTATAACTTATTCTGTTAGAGTTACGAAAATAGTCCATGGTCATATTTCTATTACTATTTGCTATTAGCTCAAAATATGATGTTTTGCCATAAAAAAGCTATTCCTATGTTCAGCGAATGATTATGCTCTACTCTACTGTGTTGCTGACCCAGCTGAAGTTGATTTTGTTCCCATATAGTTGTCTCTGTTCATGGCATAATATGAATAGAGTCATATATACGTCGTGGAATGGTCAGAGCTAACTCATCATCAAAAAACTACAAGTGACTTTATAAAGATTCAAATGTCTCAAAAAAATATTACCGACACATCTCCTAATAATACTATAACACGTACTGGAAAGCCATCTTCGCAAGAAACTCAAGAAAGGATATAATGTTCTAAGAACATCGTGCGTATATACCTCGATACAAAAATTGTGGACATCAGAAAGCTCCAATTTGTTCTCATTGTTGGGTATTCTGTGCAAAATACCACAACACAAGACATACCTTCAGCAATAGCTACTCACTCATACTACACTTGAAAGAACACAACGCTCTTCAAACTATTCGACAACAAAATGTTATAATACTTCACCAGAACGGCTTAAAGAAATTATAAATCGTCCGCAAAAATAAAATAGCATGAAAGACTTTCTATCCTGGGAATCCAAGACTGTGTTCATAAATTTTTTGATACTCTCATCAACTGAATGAAAAGATTCCTGTTTCACTACTTTGTACCTACTACTCACATGAATGTTACTAATATTGTAACTAGATATTATTCATTTATAATACTTAGGATACTGAGTTCTTATTTTTTCGATTCCGATTAATGCGTATGTTTTATTCATCGAGATCACTATAATTCAATGTATGATTTTGAATCACCTTTGAAACAAGTGCACTCTTCGTTCTCCAGCTTCAATTTTCTTTATTTTTTAAGATGATCTTTCATATTCATATTAACAGTCATGCAAAGAAACGAAACTCGAATCCGAAACTTTCTTGAACCATTATGTACAATTTGGTGCAACGTATTAAAATTAACATCAACTACTCAGAAAACGTAATTCCATGTTGAATTGATGAATAAATAAGTTTCCAATCCATTAAGATTTCAAAAAACATGTCAAAATAGTTGTCCTAAATATTGAAGGGGATTTCATCTGAAAAATGTTACTGCTGATTTTTCGTTCCTTTGTATTTTCTGAGAAATTAACCACACAGTTGTGTGTATATTATTTTCATCAGAAAGTAGAGACTTCATCGAACAGAAAGCACATATTTTAACGCGAGAATTTTCGATGGAAAATAAGAGTGCTTTTTTGATATTGAGTCAAAATGAGGTGAAATATCATTATTCCGAATCAGGAAAATTAGTGTATTTCATGAAACAAATTTGTAGATGATAAAAATAAAAAACAAAAAATTTGTTTGAGGTTATGCGAAAACATAAAAGTTAGAGATCTCTTTGTTGCCTACAACTTTGCCAAGTAACTTTTTTCCACAAGGCTTGGAGTTTTGTCGGAAATCTAGATAAACCGTTTTTTACCCTTGAAAACTCAACCACTACCACTTCTCGACCTCAGATCGCCAGTAATTCACTTTTCCTTCTATCTTTGTTATATTTTCTTGCTTTTCCAATGATTTTCATCTTACTATTTTTTTTTCACTTTTCACTGGTCCAATTTTGATAAATACAGATTATAATATAATAATCAAACTAACCATTGACACTTGACAAAGCATAATTACAAAATCTGTTGGTACCCATAAATATATTTACCTACCTTTCGTTTCTTTATGAATCCAAATATTCAGTAGTCATAGTGTTCATATATCTCATTCGAAACTTTTCACTTCACCCCCGTATACTCGTACCGATGAATTCCAGTTCCGCGTGTTTTCCGGATGAAAAATGCCGCGAAACCACCGGCGCGAAGTTGCAGATCAAACTGGATCGCCCGATGAAATTTCTGGAAATGAAGCGCTCTCTAACGGGAAAATCTCTTCGTGAAATCGCTCCAGCGCAGCATCACGAATATCTGGCAACCCTCACATGGATTGTCTGCTAATTTGCAACTTTTTTTACCATGAATTCACCCCAAGTTCGATAACCAAAACACAGAATTTGGGAAGTAACGATAATATAACGATTTACTGGAACTTTTGGAAAATTAAATTCCTTCGTGAATACAAGATTATGCAGGATAGTTCATCAGCTCTACATTGGTTCTATCGCAAATCTTGTCTGTATAGGTTTGTTTGGACAAGGATATTATAGTAACTATTATATATATGTGAATGATACATGTCACAAAGTATCATTCATTACTTATATACTAAGACACAAATTCTCAGGTAAATTTTAGTTAAAAATCGACAACAAAATAACGGAAGTCAACACATTTTTAAGCAACTTGAATGAAAGGTAATGAAGATGAAAGTTTGAAATTAAATACGCGATAAACTGGCTGAGGCAATATATAACTATTGATAATATAAAAACAATGCTCAGCAGAATATTTTCGAAATGTATCGATGACGTGTCAATTGACAATACAAATGAAACAAATTTCCTAGGTCTGATGATTGATGAATATGTCAACTGAAAATATCATGTATTAAAGATATTGAATTCCAAAATTTGTTCAGTTTCAAACAAGTCTTGGAGGAGCCTTTTACCACTCTCAGGTAACGATGGTAGCGTCCTGAATAATTAGATGTAGTATTTGTTTATCAATCACCTATCTCAACTTCTGTCGATAACGTAGGAGATTGTTTGTGAAATATCACGTGTTGATACTTTTTTCTGTGTACCTGGCGATACTTTATAATATACCATACATACATTTTGACAGTAAAATAATAATAAACAGCCTCATAGGGGATTTTTTCTTCTCGATTCAACAGATACATTGGTCACTATCTGGAAAAATATACAGGTAGCAGCAAAAAGTATCTGAATTTTAAGTTGAACATCCTATATATATTTCCTTGCAATTGGAAAGACATTTTTTCTAATAATTGATGCTTTAATTTATTAACGCGCTTCACAGTCCTCACTCCTGTTTTGTGTTTACATTATTATCGTTAGTCAGCATAATATTATGTTCGTAATCTTCATCATTCAATATTTCATATCTTATATTGAAATCTCCGAAAGCTTCTTTGAGCAGATAGTCGAAAATTTTTGGTATTACAGGTTTCATAGGCGTTATGTCGGCCAACGTAGCCAGGTCTTCAAAATACTGCGTAAATCCTTTCTCTAGTTTCATGTGCGGTGATTGTCCAGATTCTATACAGGCTTCCATATATTTTTCAACATCTTGTCTCATTTCTTCTTTCGTGGCAGTGATATTCCCTCTTAGAAATGCCAAGTAAAATCTTGCCTTAAAAAATATGATAAGTCATTAGGAAATATTAGTAAATCAAAAGTATGCTCGAATATTGATTCTAATAATATATTTTGTATTCAAATGTGTATCGATCAAGTTAGTATCGCCTCATTTCTACTTGGTACCTCATTTCCCTTGGTTCTCACGATGTTTTCAGAACATTACAGGATATCCTTTTTCGTGGGAACCAGAACATAAAAAAAATACAGGATATGTCACGACGAGCTTACACTATCTCTAAATCGAGAATCAGTCGGGAAAAATCTATGAAGATATGCATGCTTATATTTTAGAATACCCTCTCTTCATTTAAAATTTGCGATGCAGTGTTGCCGCTTCTATAAAAAAGTAGCAACACCATTGTTATTTCGAATAGAATATCATATATTCTATTGCATTTTCAGATTTTCCCTG